TCTCTGAGGTAGAAACCTGCCATGCTATCCCTCTGATTAGGATCGGATACTCTGGATATTCCGGACGCCGTTTCAGTAATTAGCCAACATTATTGCCTTTACGTTTTCCAAAATGTGTTTGTTCACCAGCGTATAGTGGTTTGATTTGAAAGTGCCCCTTCTACCACGTTATGTTTTTAAAGCAAAGAACAGGTGTCATACCTTTTTGGAATATCCCATGTGAGTTTAGTTGATAACAATGTAAACATTGACTGTAATTGATTGACCAATTGTTTAATCGAGAGACGGAAATGTTCAAAATATTATTTCCATTGAAATGCAAAAAATTGAAGTTTATTTTTTAACAAAGAATCTAAAGCATAACTATATGCTCTGCGTCCAACTCAAATTGTGCAGTGTTTAGTCATTGTACCGTTAATATCATCCTTTAAATGTTAATATGAATTGCAGGACCTCTGCTGTAGATTAGCCTCTCATAAATGTGTCAGAATTTATAAATAAATGTAGAATAACTTTAATTGTAAAAGTCTTTCCAAAAAATAAATCTTGTGTAACTGATGTTTACTACAAAATGTCCAGTTGAATATTAATACAAGCGTCATTCATACAAATGTCTTGGAGATAAATACGTCACTTATGTTTTCCTTTTCCACGTCTCAACAAAAGTTTAGTAAAATCCCATCTAAATTAACACATTTTCTCTTTGAATTCAATGAGTAGGTTTGGACCAGTCCAAACAAAACTGTTGGTGATATTTGGATGTAGAAGACATATAAATTCGCAGTAACTTCAACTTATTGCGCATAACTTATTATTACCTAAATCCTGTTCCCCCTTAATCTTCTAATTTATTTAAAGATAAAAAAGATTCTAAGCACAAATTATATTATACAATATTTTACAACATTCTTCACTGTTTCATCTATGATCAAAGTATATTATTCATTTCAATGTTTTTCAGGGCTAATTTTAATGCACCAGACTTTCTTCAGTTCCGAGAGTAGATATTTTCTTGTTCATCCTCACTGTGATATTTCCTTTTTATATTTTTTTACATCACAAGAGGACAGTGCAGTCCTGTATCAAGGCATGTAATCCTAAAATGACAACGCTGTTATTGGTGTTTTTGAACAACAACGTTGTCTATGAATTCATAGTTAAATATGTCCAAATTTCCCCATCGACATGTTATACCTCATAAAGTTCTCATGGTGTCAGTGTGTACCAGTAAACCAGAGGGAACGCTGCTTCCCCACCCTTCTGTCTCATCGAATTCAAAACGTGTCTCTTCTCTTCTACACCGGTTGACGATATCACTTCATGATACAACTGCAGGGTGAAGGTTTTATTTTATTTTAGCGTAAATCAACTACATTTCTGAATATTTTGACATAATTAGTAGCATTGGAGGTCTTTTTGAAGCAACAATGGGATACAGAAAAATAGCGCTGCTTTTCGGCCTTGCTTTTATATTTCTCGTCATCCACCCTGTCAATGGAGACCTGAGCTACTCTATTCCGGAGGAGATGAAACGTGGATCTATCGTTGGAAATATCGCTAAGGATCTTGGACTTGATCTTGGGAGACTCTCTGCTCGCAAGGCCCGTATCGATACGGAAGACAACAGTGCAAAGTACTGCGGTATAAATCTCAACACCGGAGACTTGATTGTACAAGAAAGGATTGACAGAGAAGGGCTTTGTGCTAAAAAGGAATCGTGTGTTCTGAAACAGGAACTCGTGTTAGAAAATCCTTTAGAACTGCACCGTATTAGTATCCGCGTTCAAGACATCAACGACAATTCACCACAGTTCAAAGAGGAGTTGATTAGAATAGAAATTCAGGAATCAGCACATAAAGGTGCGCATTTTCTTTTAGGGGAAGCACATGACGGAGATATTGCGGAAAATGCGATACAGACCTACTCACTTCAGCGGAATAACCATTTCATATTAAATGTTAAGTCGAAATCTGGCGGACGAAAATATGGTGAATTGGTATTGGATAAAGAATTAGACCGAGAGGACAAAAAAGAGATCATGTTGCTGCTTACCGCATTCGATGGAGGTTCTCCTCAGAGATCAGGTACTGTGGTGATACAAGTCACTGTACTGGATGCTAATGATAACGTACCCGTGTTTAGCCAGGCCGTTTATAAAACGAGTCTGCCGGAAAACTCTCCCGTGGACACATTGGTAGTCACAGTAAGTGCCATTGATGCAGACGAAGGTTTGAATAGTGAAATAACTTACGAATTTGACCATGTTTCAGATGAAAACAGCAACGTCTTTTCTTTGCACTCTAAATCGGGAGAGGTGAGAATAGCTGAAAGTCTTGATTACGAGAAAGTTTCAACTTATGAAATGCAGATCAGCGCAAAAGATGGTCTGGGATTAGTTTCTTATGCAACGTTGGTCATTGAGATTAATGATATGAATGATAACGCCCCAGTGATATTTTTGAAATCTCTAACTAACCCAATACCTGAGAACGTGTCACCTGGTACAGAGGTGGGCATCGTTAACGTGCAGGATAGAGACTCTGAGACTAACAGACAGGTCCGCTGCTCCATTCAGCAAAACGTCCCTTTTAAGTTGGTTCCTTCTATTAAAAACTATTATTCTCTGGTGACCACAGGACAACTGGACCGTGAACTAGAGTCTGATTACAACATTACAGTCACTGCCACTGACGAGGGCTCTCCACCTCTGTCCTCCTCTAAAACCGTTCAGTTATCTGTAGCAGACATCAACGACAACCCACCTGTGTTTGAGGAACAATCCTACAGCGCGTATGTGAGTGAAAATAACAAAGCTGGCTCCACTTTATGTTCCGTTACCGCTCGAGACCCCGACTGGAGACAAAACGGCACAGTGATTTATTCTCTCTTACCCGGTGAGGTGAACGGTGCGCCGGTGTCCTCCTATCTGTCTGTTAACGGAGACACGGGGGTGATCCACGCTGTGAGGTCGTTTGATTATGAACAGTTCAGGAGCTTTAAAGTCCTCGTGATGGCCAGAGACAACGGTTCTCCTCCGCTCAGCAGCAACGTGACCGTCAGTGTGTTCGTATCGGATGTGAACGACAACTCTCCTCAGATACTGTACCCCAACCCGGAGGGAAACTCCTTTCATGACCGAGCTGGTCCCCAATGCTGCGCACGGAGGCTCTCTGGTGTCCAAAGTGATCGCGGTGGACGCGGACTCCGGACAGAATGCCTGGCTGTCCTATCATATAGTCAAATCCACTGATCCGGACTTTTCACTAATCGGTCTCCACAGCGGAGAGATCAGGGACACAGCGGGACATTCTGAATCTGACAGCATGAAGCAGAACCTCATTGTGTCGGTGAAAGATAACGGACAGCCCTCTCTCTCTGCCACCTGTTCCATGTATTTACTCATTTCTGATAACTTGGCTGAGGTGCCAGAACTGAAGGATATTTCTTATGACGAGAAGAACTCCAAACTGACCTCTTATCTGATCATCGCGCTGGTGTGCGTGTCCACCTTTTTTCTGACCTTCATCATCATCATCCTCGGTGTGAGGTTTTGTCGCAGAAGAAAGCCCAGACTGTTGTTTGATGGAGCAGTTGCCATCCCCAGCGCGTATCTCCCTCCTAATTACGCAGACGTGGACGGAACAGGAACTTTACGCAGCACTTACAATTATGACGCGTATCTGACAACCGGTTCAAGAACCAGTGACTTCAAGTTCGTATCATCTTACAATGACAACACGCTGCCTGCTGACCAGACTCTGAGGAAAAGTCCATCAGACTTTGCGGATGCATTTGGAGATTGTGATGATTCTCCTGAGGTAGGAAACTTGCAATGCTCTTCCCTCTGATTAGGATTGGATACTCTTTATATTGCCTGATGCCGTTTTCAGTAATTAGCCAACATTATTGCCTTTACGTTTTCCAAAATGTGTTTGTTCACCAGCGTATAGTGGTTTGATTTGAAAGTGCGCCTTCTACCACGTTATGTTTTTAAAGCAAAGAACAGGTGTCATACCTTTTTGGAATATCCCATGTGAGTTTAGTTGATAACAATGTAAACATTGACTGTAATTGATTGACCAATTGTTTAATCGAGAGACGGAAATGTTCAAAATATTATTTCCATTGAAATGCAAAAAATTGAAGTTTATTTTTTAACAAAGAATCTAAAGCATAACTATATGCTCTGCGTCCAACTCAAATTGTGCAGTGTTTAGTCATTGTACCGTTAATATCATCCTTTAAATGTTAATATGAATTGCAGGACCTCTGCTGTAGATTAGCCTCTCATAAATGTGTCAGAATTTATAAATAAATGTAGAATAACTTTAATTGTAAAAGTCTTTCCAAAAAATAAATCTTGTGTAACTGATGTTTACTACAAAATGTCCAGTTGAATATTAATACAAGCGTCATTCATACAAATGTCTTGGAGATAAATACGTCACTTATGTTTTCCTTTTCCACGTCTCAACAAAAGTTTAGTAAAATCCCATCTAAATTAACACATTTTCTCTTTGAATTCAATGAGTAGGTTTGGACCAGTCCAAACAAAACTGTTGGTGATATTTGGATGTAGAAGACATATAAATTCGCAGTAACTTCAACTTATTGCGCATAACTTATTATTACCTAAATCCTGTTCCCCCTTAATCTTCTAATTTATTTAAAGATAAAAAAGATTCTAAGCACAAATTATATTATACAATATTTTACAACATTCTTCACTGTTTCATCTATGATCAAAGTATATTATTCATTTCAATGTTTTTCAGGGCTAATTTTAATGCACCAGACTTTCTTCAGTTCCGAGAGTAGATATTTTCTTGTTCATCCTCACTGTGATATTTCCTTTTTATATTTTTTTACATCACAAGAGGACAGTGCAGTCCTGTATCAAGGCATGTAATCCTAAAATGACAACGCTGTTATTGGTGTTTTTGAACAACAACGTTGTCTATGAATTCATAGTTAAATATGTCCAAATTTCCCCATCGACATGTTATACCTCATAAAGTTCTCATGGTGTCAGTGTGTACCAGTAAACCAGAGGGAACGCTGCTTCCCCACCCTTCTGTCTCATCGAATTCAAAACGTGTCTCTTCTCTTCTACACCGGTTGACGATATCACTTCATGATACAACTGCA